ACAATAATGCTATATATATATATATATATATATATATATATATATACATATCATTCTGTTTACATCATTTCTTTACTTCATAATACCATATATCTGTTATAATTCTGATTTTTAAATTTCGAATTCTGAAAATATTCAGAAATTATATAAATTATACAAGCTAAAATTATTTCAGTCTTTATAGCGCACATTTTATTACTTTAAAATATCTAATTATTTGTTATAATTTCAGTTTTTGATTTTGAAAGTATTGTAAAATTATATGGACTATAGTTTTGACATTTATAAATATATCTTATATTGGAAAGCAAATTGTATTATTAAAAAGACACGACGGATTATATTGCAATGAACTGATTAGTTTATTCCAAATAATCTAAGATAAGACGGATATTTGTATTACAAGAAGCATTCCATCTGTAGCTACAGACACAGGATATATATCGTCTGGATTTCCTTCATCCTTCATAGTTTATTTAATCGGCCTGATTGATAGTAGTAGCAATAGTAGTATTAATAGTAATAATAATAGTTATAATAATAATAATATCAAAAATTCCGATTACCCTTTTTAAATTGTTTCTTTTTCAGGCCTGTATGCATGCAAAGTTATCATTTGATTCATATTGTTCATCGATTCCATTGTAAATATCTTTTGTTTACATTTTACACATTCAATTTTGAAACTTCAAAATTTTCGAAATACTGTAAAAATTACAACAAATTAACATTCGGACGTTACACATCCTATCTATTCGAAATGTCACATTTTAACATAATAATGATGTCTGTTTAGCTTTTTTAAAATTTCCGGTATATGTTGCTTATCAGTTATTATCATTTTGCCGCGATATGATTGTTTCATACACCATATCATCAGAACCAATTAGTTCATAAGCTTAGTTGGGTTCACAAACTTTCAATAAATATCACCAAAATGCTTTATCGTTTTTGAATTGAAAATATTGAGAAATTGATCTTCTTATACCTTCTTCTTGTCAGCTAACATTACTGATATAAATCTGAATGAAATAATGGAATTTATTCTAAAAATACCGTAAGCTTATTCATATTTTAGCCCTTAAATATGTCACCAAAAGTTTTTAAATATATTCTGTTTACAAATCTTTTTTATTTCTTGCATTTGGATCAAGCTGATATATGTTCAACATCAAAGGAATGTCATCAGGTTGGACACCAATGAATTTACCGATCAATTGTAAAATACCATATAAAGATTGGAAAGATAATGGAGGATTCCTGATTGATATATTTCTAGTTAATCGAACTCTTAAATTACTCGAAACTATGAATCATCAAGAAGACGGCTAACCACTGAATCAGTACACTGGATGGATCACGTAAATTCACTGAATCTGGAAGCATTCGATTACGTCAAAGTAGTAAACGGAATTATAGTAGTAAAAATTACAGGAAGATACTCCCATCTTTTGGACAAATGGATTTCTTTGACTTTAGAGCGGGAAGAGCATCAGGAGGACCGGTATTGCTGCTGATTCGATATACTGTTGACGAATGTACATAATTAGAAAAGATTAAAAACTCTCCCTCTTACCCTTTCCCGCCCTCACCTCAGTCTTTCTTTACCCTCCCCTGCCTCGTTGTTTTTTTCTTGACCTTTTCCGACCGAAGAAAAAACGGTATAAGTGCCGGATACGGTCATATGTTAGAGGTGTAAGGGTTGGGTGTGGCCTATGATAAGTAGGCATGTCGATGGTGAATGTGTGGTAAACCCCACCCCATTCCATCCTAAGAGGACGACTGCCATGCCTACCTTCCGTTCAATGTATCCGCCTCCTTTCCATTAGTTTTGTTGTTGTTAGCCGGAGTAGGAGGGGATGATAGATCGGATGGCCGAAAGGAGGGACAAGCCAAGTAATTTTCATCCCTCCTTCCTCTTTTGGGCGTTTCCCTTAAACATCCTTTATCTCATTTACACCGTTTACTGCTCACTTCGTGTCATTTAGTCGCATCTTTACCGTTTATATTCTTATGGGTAAGAGAGTGGGGGAGGAGAGAAGGGGAAGGAGGATGGGTTCCGGTCCCGGATGATTGTCCGGATAATTATTTAGACGGATGTACAGTTCGTATCGTATCGCGAGGTAATATTACAATACGGTTTATCAATGCATGCTTCCCATTTTTAAATTAAATAATATATCGAATGCATTTAAATACCATAAATTTGTTTATCATATCAGTGATTTCTTTAAGGAAATGATTTCAAGATTTAAACGCTAACGATATTATAGAGAATTGAAAATTCCGGGTATAATATTTAAAAGTGAATTCCGGAATTCCGATCTCATATTTGAATTTCAATCTTCAGAAAAATATCGGCAATAGCCCGTTTTTTCGTACTGAGATATTTATTCATTTAATAAAATGGAATATACCAAAATAGAATTTCCACCTAAAACTTGATGTTTCGTCGAACTTTCATCATTTCATTCTATTTTAACCCATTTTACACTTTCAGGTATTCATTATATATATTAACGAGTGGTTTCTTTTTCAAATATTTCTCACTACCTCTCTTTTTTTCTCTGTTTCGTCTCTCTCCATTTTCAGCTGTCTCTCTTTCTTCCCCTCTTTCTGTTCCATTTTATACGATCATTTCATCGAAATTGGTACCAACCAAAAGGTCTACATCGTTCTATATTTTTGATTGTTTATTTTTACTTAAATTTCATTGGTTATTTTTTTCTTTGTACCTCAAAAAGTACAACCATTGAAAAAGTAAGAGAATGGGGAAGGTATTACTAACTTATATTTGATAATGGAATGAATGAAAAATGTCTCATTGAATTTTTATAACGAACAAAGGAGAAGAAAAAATTTTAAGAAATGTTATGGGAGAGAGAGAAAGGGAGGGAGAAAGGGTTAGAGAGGGAGAGGAAGAGAAAATGATAACAAAGAGGAAATTTTTAATGATTCAATGGTAACCTGTCGTTGTTATATTCTCCTTTTGTTCACATCTTTTTTTTTTGATTTCTTTCTCTTTTTTTTTCTTTTCTTTCAATTTAACATAAAAGCCGGTTTCATCACTTATGAATTTCATAATTTCAATGTTCCACCTCCCTTCCCTCTCTCTCTCTCTCTCTCCTCCTCCTCTCTCTCTCTCTCTCTCTCTC